TAAATCATAGAGAAAGTAAGCACAAAGAAGTTACGACAGTGATTATCAAATTTGAGCCAACACCAATAGTCACCTGGGAGCTTATTACACATATTGATTCCTAAATCCATCCCCAGAAAATCTGATTAAACAGGTCTAGGTTAGTCTGGAATCTGCATTTTGTTTTTGTTTTTTGACATGTAGTAATCTAGATGTGGGTGGTTATGGACCTAACAGTCCCTGGAACAACCACGAAAGGTTCAGGGTCTCAGTGACTTGTGGATCTTTATAGGATCCAGCGGCTGTAAAAGAAATGCTTAGGAATACCTGTGTGTTTAGGCTAATTTTGGCCAATCTTATCCTACTGATAAGAAACAATCTTGGTTGGAATTCCTTCTAACTCACTGGCTGCTGATCACCAAGGTACTGAACAAACCCTGCCACGAAGGAAGATGAGATGAGGGGGTGGCCTCCAGAACTGTCAGGTAACACACTTGTGTTGTTTTTGTGCTACCAAGCCTGGGGTAATTTGTTACAACAGCAGTAAGAGCAGCATAATCCATATACTAACAATGGCTTGCCTAAAAAGAAACTAGATTTTTCTTACCTACATCCATTGGCCGTTCAGTATTTAAGCTGTCCGTGCTGCCCTGGTGTCCACCCAAAGGTGTCTTTACTGGTTGATCTGACAATTTCCCAGTACTGACAGACCTGAAAAGAACACTGATACTAATAATGGAAAAATACACTTTTTAAAAAAAAAAAAAGTATTAATAGGAAGTCAGAGAACAAGGAAACAAAAAGCAGATAACAAACAATTCAGGGTAGAGATAAACTTCAACAACAATAATAAAAAAAGACAGAAATAGAGTATTCAGGAAGTTCAGGAAGAGCTCTGTATTTACAAAGTTATAGGAAGCATTTGTGGTTTCCAGAGATTCTAAATGTATACGGTACATATCAATAACCACATGGCATAAACCAGATACTGGTTGCTTTTATGACAGAAATGTTATCTATTTTACTATTACAGTTTTCATGTTTAAGGCTAGAGAGGAAACAGACTTTTACCTGCCAAACACTGCCTTATTCTGCTGCTCAGACCGCAGCCTCTCACCTCCTTGCACTAAAAGGCAATGGGAGCACTCCCGGGGGTCATTCCCATCTTTGGATTGCCCTTCAGCAGGCCCATGACGAGTAACCAAGGCCAGCAGGTTGGAAGACGCTTGCGTTTTAGGGATTTTGAAAGGAGCTGTGGCCTAAAGAAACAGATGTAAGCTAGTTAATACAATGTATGAGCTGTTGAGAATTGGCAGGCTATATGACCCATAGTAAGGGGTATCAATTTTGGAGTCAATTAAAACCAGATTCAAATACTGGCTGTTCTATTTACAGCCTGTGTGACCTTGTATCATTCATTTACGTTCTCTAAGCCTCAATTTCCTTTTTTGAGGATTAAATGGGATCATGCGCATAAAGCATTCAGCAAGTAAAATACTTACACTGTGCCTGGCACATAGCAAGTGGTCATTAAATTCTACTTGTTCTCATCATGAATCCTTTCCATAACATACTATACCAATTCATGATCTGCAAAAGGGTTTAATAAACATACCTTAGTAGGAGAGCCGATGATTGTTGGTAAAGGAGTTCTAAAGAACCAGTCAGAACTGCGTGGAGAGGATCCCATGTGTTTGGTGGGAGAGGTTCCAAGGCTGCCAGGCCGACTAGGCTGAGGTGAGTAGCTGTACCCAGGCCCAGCATGGGATGGGCACACGGGGTCAGAGTGCTGTTTTCTGAGCTTCTGCTTGTTCTGATAGATGTCAGTGAGGGTGGGGGCGCTCTGCAGCCTAGCACCCAGTAAGACAGACTGTGGTGACTGCGCCTGCGGCACTGGAGAACCTAACAAGAAAATGAATGCAATAGTAACCCAAGGTGAAGAAGTGCAGGGCGAAAACTTAAGAATTAAAAAGACAATTTTTAAAATGAGAATTCGGATAAATGTCTTATCTTTCATAAGATAGTCTAAAAGTTGTTTACTTGACAAGAGACTGTTTTCTGGCATCCTTTACGAAACAACGACAAGTACATTGTTGTCTGTATTCTCAGAAGATAGAATTTAATGATGGGTATATTAGCTGGTTTTTTTTTTTTTTTTTTTTTTTTTTGAGACAGAGTCTCACTGTGTTGCCCGGGCTAAAGTGCCGTGGCATCAGCCTAGCTCACAGCAACCTCAGACTCCTGGGCTCAAGCGATCCTCCTGCCTCAGCCTCCTGAGTAGCTGGGACTACAGGCATG